CAAGGATTAAACTCCTGCAGTGCCCACAAGGTCCCTCTGCTCAAGAAAGCACATGCCCAGGCTCATCTGAAGTTTGCCACTGAACATCTGATTGATGCAAAGGAGGACTGGTTGAAAGTGTTGTGGTCAGATGAGACCAAAATCGAGCTCTTTGGCATCAACTTAACTCGCTGCGTTTGGAGGAGGAGGAATGCTGCCTCCTCCAAACACCATGTCAAACATGGTGGTGGAAACATTCTGCTTTGGGGGTGTTTTTTCTGCTAAGGGGATAGGACAACTGCACCACATTAAAGGGACGATGGATGGGGCAATGTACCATCAAATCTTGGGTGAAAACCTTCTTCCCTCAGCCAGTGCATTGAAAATGGGTTGTGGTTGGGTGTTCCAGCATGACAATGACCAAAAACACATGGCCAAGGCAACAAAGGAGTGGCTCAAGAAGAAGCACATTAAAGGTCCTGGAGTGGCCTAGCCAGTCTCCAGACCTTAATCCGATTGAAAATCTGTGGAGGGAGCTGAAAGTTCGAGTTGCTAAACATCAGCCACCAAACCTTAATGATTTGAAGAGGATCTGCTAAGAGGAGTGGGCCAAAATCCCTCCTGAGATGTGTGCAAAGCTGGTAGCCAACTACAGGAAACGTCTGACCTCTGTGATTGCCAATAAGGGATTTGCCACCAAGTACTAAGCCATGTTTTGTGAAGGGGATCGAATACATATTTCCCTCATGAACATGCAATTTGTTAGAATTTTTTGTTGCTTTTCACTGAGAACTGTCTCTCAGTGTTTCAATACATCTACCATTCGAATTTTTAGACTGATCATTTCTTTGTGAGTGGGCAAACATTCAAAATCAGCTGGGGATCAAATACTTATTTCCATTATCTTTTTTCCTTTTGGATTGGCCAAACCATACCATTATTTTCTAGTGCTAGTTACCCAATTGTCGAATTGGACTCCAGAGGCTATAGACCTTCGTACTTATTAATTCTTTTAGGTTTTTTACTGGTGTATTATCTTGCTCGTGTATTGGAGTACCGGTATTGCAGATCATTTTTATCCATAGGAATACCATATTGTCCTGTTATAGGTGTGTTGGGGACAGGACATTCGATCTAGCAGGGTCTGGGGGGTAGGTGGGTGACAGTGAGCAGGTGTTTTACCTCAGCTCCCTTCTTCTCTTCTTGTGGGGGGAGGGGGGTGGTTGGTTGGGTGGGTTTGGGAGGAGCACTGTGGGAGGAGCATTGGGGTACCTTGGGAGGTGTTGGGGGTTTTTTTTGGGGGGATTGGTTGGATTGTTGAGAGGTGGCTGGGGTTCCCATTGGGGAGGTGCGGGTACTTTGGGCACACAGGAGACATTTGGGTACCATCGGTGAGTGTCTGGTGTGGGAGGTTCCCTCCATGCCCGGGGGTGGGGGGCTTTCATGATTGGGAGTGATCACCAGGTCCCCAATGCAATGTGTATTTACTTTGTATGTTTTTTATGAATAAATATTGTTTTGAGGTTAGCCTTTTAGGTGTGGAGCCTATTTCCTTTTTTCTTTGGTTTTTGTATCATATGTTTTAGGTAGCACCCTTCCAGACTGCTCTAGAGGCACCTCATATCTTTTCTGTACTATAGTGGATTCCACAGCCTCTCCCTGTTTTTTCCCCTTTTTTTTCCCCTTATTTTACATTAATTTTTGGACATATCAGCAGGAGATTTAAGTGGGAAGCCTAGACAGTATATGCAGGCCTTGCATTACACACCAAGGTCAGCATGTGTACAGTGAAACTATGGTGATCAGCATAGTAGCTTGATACAGCTAAAAAATGCCTGGATGAGAAACACGTATCTTAGCTGAATTTTCCCTGTGTATATTTTAATTGTAAATATAATGCTTCAATGAACTGCAGCTTGTAAAGTAAAGGATTATTATTATACCTGTAAAATACTAGCTTTGCATTATATATTTCCATCTATAAATGGTTTTAGAATATTTTTTAGTAATATTAATGTTTACTGGATAGTCACAGCATATTGCACAACAACCACATGTATGTAAAGGCCTCGAGCTATGCTTAGATTAATGTCAGAACATTATGTACTCAAGCAACGGGTCTCCATAACTTAAACCCTGGGGTACTGTTTGTTCTTTTTTATGAAATATTAGCTACTTGATGTGGCACCTCTGGCAATGTATGTAATGCTTGGGATGAAAGCGTGAACATTCAAATTAAGGGCTTGTGTGTTCATTGCAATAAATGGGTTAGAGAAATAATTGTAAATAAGCAGAGCACAGTAAATGAACCAGATTTATAGCAAGTACTCACCAAGTATGTAGTAGTTCAGCTTCTAAATCTCATTTTATGTAAATAGAACTCAGTCCTGGGGGCTTGCTGCAATGTGGAAATATCCCATTTGTGGGAGCCTCATTTCACAGTTACATTACACCCAATGATGGGCAGTCGATGTGAAACATCATACAATCCCATCCTGGATTAACCATTCACTAAGTGATAAAGGAGCAGCAAGGCAAGCGTGGTGTGGCAAAAAGTGGGTGTGGCTTATCTGAATAAGAGTTTTGTCTTATTTTGCATACACATGTCAAAAAAGAAACAGAAGGATTTATCATAAAACATTAAATGTGTTTCATGAACATCTAATAACAGTCCAGCTCTTTAAAGTTGTTATCAGCTATTTTTAGTAACACAGATATTGCATTCATGATCAAAATTTCAGTTTATTAGAATGTTAACTGATACATTTAAGAAGCTTTAATACTATAATATTAAAGTAGAACTGAGGACGAGCCTTTCTTTTTTTAAATTTTGGATAGTGTAAGGAAGGGTTATAACCCCTGTCAGATTTTTCTGCCATCTGTGTCCCATTGGGGCGATTTCCCTTCACTTTCTGTCCCACTGCCACAATACGAAGTAAGAAGAAATCCTTCCAAAGTTATGAAAATCTCTGGTTGTCACCAGAATCAGTGTCCCATTTTGTAGATTTCCCCCTATTCCTGTTCTGGTGACCATTCAAAATGTTATTCTTTCACTTTCACAGATAATGGTCACCAGAACAAACAGGGTTATAGAGACAGCAATAAAAACCTAATAGGTATTCTAATTCCTCTCCACTCTAGAACTAAAAAACAGCTTTGCGTTTACAGTTACCTGTGACTTGTGATGCCACTCTAAGCAAAGGAGAGTTCAGCTGGTTCTCAGGAATGGGGTGCTGGCTGGAAATTTCACCATCCAGTAGTGTGAGGCCATCTCACAGATGTTACCACTTGCCCTCCAGAGGATTTACCCCCCTTAAAGACCAGGCCTCTTTTTGCTACTCGGCGTTGCACTAATTCAACTGATAATTGCGCGGTCATGCAATGCTGCTTCCAAACGAAATTTATGTCCTTTTTTTCACACAAATAGAGCTTTCTTTCGGTGGTATTTGATCACCTGTGCGCTTTCTATTTTTCACGCTCTAAACAAAAAAAGACCAAAAATTTTGAAGAAAAAAAATATTTTTTACTTTCAGCTATAAAAAATATATAGTAAACTCAAAGTTGGTTATAAATTTAGGTATTCTGCTAAATGTTTTTGTATTCTGCTACAGTGTTTTTGGTATAGATACTGCAATTTACGCCATTTTTTTGCTATACAAAAAAAATTGCGCCCAATAAAGTGTATATTGATTGCTTTTTGTGTGAAAGTTTTTTCTTTTTTGCGCTATAGCGTCTACAATCTATTTTTGGTATACGATACTGCAATTTACGCCATTTTTTTGCTATTACAGCGCTGCACTAGTTTAACGGTATACTGATATTGCCCAGTTTCCTTCTTCTCCATACACTTCTCTATCATCACTCTGACAATAATTGCTTGTTAAGGGACCAAAAATAATGGGTCATGCAATACGGTTTAATAAATGAAATTTACATCCTTTTTTCCCACAAATTGAGCTTTTTTTGGTGGTATTTGATCGCCTGCGTGCATTTTTTCTTTTTTTGCGCTATAAAAAAAAAGCCTGACAATTTTGAGGAAAAAAAACAATATTTTGGACTTTTTTTGCTATAAAACATGTCCAGCCATACATGTAAAAAAAAATTGAAAAAAGTTCTTCCTTTCCATAGTCATCACTCTGGTACAAAATTTCTGCCAGAAAAGGCTTTTTTGATTCGTTTGCAACTAATGTCTGTTTTTTGCTCACCAATGGTTTACAAAAAAAAAAACCCTACCTCCTGGAGAATTCTGGCCAACTGTTGTGAATGTTTTCTTCACCAGGGAAAAATTAATTGGTCTTTTGGTGTTGCTTACGTGTTCCTTCTTTTAAAAGTTAGTTGTTTTTAGCGTTTACAAATGGGTGGGAAAGATACTTGAGAGTTGACAGGGATTTTAAATTTGTTTTATACTAAATAATGGCGGCGATCAGCGACAATTGTTATGGCTTAAAAAGCGATCAATGACTTAAGCTGGCGGCGATCAGTTCGCTTTATGGCGGGACTGCGGCGGACATTCCGACACTGGGGGGGAACTGATTTGGGGATCACTGACATCCCCAGTGACACATCGACACTGGGGGGAACTGATTTGGGGTCACTGACATCAATGACACCAATACAGTGATCAGTGCAAAAAAACCCACTGACACTGTACTAATGGCACTGGGGAGGAAGGGATTAACTTTATTATGCGGTAAAAGAGTTAACTTTGTGAGGGGAGTGTTTTACTAGGGGGCAGTGGTGTGTACTGCAGGGAACACTGCTGATCGGGACAGATAAACTCTTCCGTCCCGATCAGCGTGTCAGGAGCTGTCAGGGAACTGACAGAAAGCACAGCTACTGCAGTTATGCTCTCTGTCACTGATTGCCGCTAATCGCCGAGACATAGCCGGTAACGACCGACTGTGACCCGGCGACTGACATCCGCGGCCGTGATCGGCGGGACAGGTAGGGCGGCGGCGCAGCGCTGTGTCCCTCAGACACAGCGGATCACCGATCAACAGAAAGAGCTGAAGATGTCGGCTCGGTCATGTGATCAGCTGTGTCCAATCACAGCTGATCACATGTAAATAGGGTAATGCCAGTTATCTGCATTTCTCTCCTCATGAGCTGTAACGCTGACAGCTTGAGAGGAGAGGAGAACAGGTAATCGGCATCCCTCAGAGGGGACATGTGCACTGATCATCAGGGCACTGTTGGCTAGTGTGCCCTGATGATCAGTGTAGCCCCAGCAGTGCCACCTCTCAGTGTCCATCAGTACCAGCTGTCAGTGCTCATCCATGCCACCTGCCAGTGCCCATCAGTGCCACATCAATGCCACATATCAGTGCCTACCATTGCACATCAATGCCACATATCGGTGCCCATCTGAGCTGCCTTTCAGTGTCACCAGTCAATGCCAGTCAGTGCCACCTATCAATGCCAGTCAGTGCCACCAATCAGTGCCGTCTAACAGTGGCAGTCAGTGCTGCCTATCAGTGCCAGCCAGTGCCACCTAACAGTGCCAGTCAGTGCTGCCTCAGTGACGCCTATCAGTGCCATATATGAGTGCTGCCTTTCAGTGCCCATCAATGATGCCTGTCAATGCCCATCAGTGCCACCTACCAGTGTCCATGAGTGCAGCCTATCAGTGCCCATCACTGCAGCCTCATTAGCGCACATCAGTGAAGGAGAAAAATCACTTATTTACAAAAATTGTATAACAAAAACTAAGGAAAAAACGTTATTTTTTTTCAAAAATTTTCAGTGGTGTTTGGTTTGTTTAGCAAAAAATTAAAAACCCAGAGGTGATTAAATACCACCAAAAGAAAGCTCTATCTGTCTCAAAAAAATGATAAAAATTTCATATGGGTACAGTGTTGCATGACTGCCCAATTGTCATTCAAAGTGTGACAGCACTGAAAGCTGAAAATTGGCCTGGGCAGGAAGGGGGTATAAGTGCCCTGTAGGCAAGTGGTTAAACCCACAACATTAAAACCTGTCTCTATATGCAGTAAAGCATGCTTGTTATACTCACTGTGGAACCTAAGGGATTTATCCTCCACATTGTGTAAAAAGGCTGTTTGATCCTGTCTTCTCTGATCCTCCCCTTCTTTTACTGTGCCTATTCCATCTGCTAATAATACATAAGCCTAGGAGACACTCTGCACATGCTCAGTTTGGTGTGTATTGCTAGAACAGTTTTCTATTTTTTGGAAGGGTGCATGCGATCGGCACAGAGCCAATCAGCACTGTCCCGACAGAGGATCATGCAGCCTCATAGGACAGTCAGAGGAGAATGAAAACTGCTTCTACAAAATTAAACATTGCTCAGCCAGACACTGATAGAAGTCACAAGACTACTATATACTGCTGATGGGAAAAGGTATTTAGCCATTTATATTTACTAAAATAATTGCATTTCCATGTTCTGTGCACTGTGGGAGACCAGATAGAGTGAATTCAGGGTCGTGGATTTAGTAACACTTTAGGACACTTCAGATTTTAATAAGCTGGAATATACAGTATGTTAAAATCAGTCATAATACAACTATATCTAGGTTTTTTAAATCTATTGCTTGATACATATTTTAATTATAGCTTTAGGGCAAAAATAGAATGCACAAGTTAAAGGAGCTCTGTAGTCACTGATAAATCAAAACAGTGTAAATACAGTAAGTTTGCTGAATTTGACCTAATATCACCCTCTTGCAGTCCCTGTTCAGCAGGACTGAAGTTACATAGTTGGGTTGAAAAGGCACATGCTGCGGTCGATCCAGGAAGACCTAGGATCAGAAAAGCTGATTTGAATTGTGCTGTCAATCAGGCTGAGGGCATCTAACAGCAGAAAAAAAGTACGTTGGGGGAAATCTCTCTGGACAGAAGCTGAATGTTGCAGCAAAGGCTGATTTTATTTTATGATTTAATGGAATATTCATTTGTATCTGGTTATTTTTGGCTTGAGTTCAGATTTAATAAATTAAAAATGCATGCATTACCACAACATATGGCGGTTCCATTCTTTGTGAGCCTTACCCCAATATACCATACAGTAGAGGACAATGCACCACAACATAAAGCACAAAGTGTACATTCTTCAGTGGAGTTAACATCACACAAAAGTATAACTGTCTTCTTTATTGCCTGTCCTAGGGCATTTGGTCTGCATTGCTTCCTAAAAACAAAAATAAATAAAACGTTAAATAAATCATTTGCATGTTTATGAG